CGACTGGTTAATCTGCTACCCCGGATTGGATACTTTTTTTGGTTTAAGTTTATTGCAAATAACCGGTAATCTTATAATTGACAAAACCATAGAAGCTGTCATTAAGCCGCGACCGTATAAAGCAATTATACCGGCCATATTTTAGAAATCATATAATTTTGGGGGAATTTTAAAAATACCCCTTTTCCAATACCACTTTTTAAAAATACCCCTCTTTCTAATTTTATCAAAAAGTCACTATAAATTTTGAAATTTATCAAAAACATATGTGTAAGCTTATATTTCTAGACACAAATTATCTTTATATGTGTGTAAATTTATATATGTATTTCATAAATACCATATAAATACCTTTTAAAAACCTTTTAAATATCATTTATAACCCTTATAAAAACTGTGTAAACCTTTTAAAAACCTTATAAAAATCTTATAAATGTCGTTTAGAACCTTTTAAAACCTTATAAATATTTGGATTTAGTTTCCCAGTAGTAATGATGATCTTGATGTACCTTATCAACCATATAAAAGTTTATAATTTTTCATATTTGAAAAGGGGTATTTTTGAAAATGGATAGAAAATGGGGGTATTTTTAAAAAGGGGTACACCAAAAGGGTATTTCTCAAAAATTCTCTATAATTTTTTATTCTTTTTCAAACGGTAATACATACGATTAAAATTTATAAGTTTTAACTTGCTCAAATAAAGAACTAGATTAAACTTTTAAATTTTGGATGCTTGAGAAATCAAGCTTCTTGCTCTTTTGTAGGTTGAAGCATATTAGTCATCATATTTATAATAACTTTGTACCATTGTCTAAACTACATCTTAAGTACATACACCATAGTCAAACTGATCATTTTTACAATCTTCAGTGCAAACGACCACAAAAGCAAAGAAATCAACCACACGATCATGAAATCACCCCAAAAAAATGACGGAACTGCTCAGATAAGTCATGATTATGCACACACCTTTTGGTTGGAATGAACCGTGACGAAAACAACACAAACAGAGGAAGAACTTGGCTCTCCTAACACCAACAACCACGAAACCCATCTTAATTAGGCTAGATCTTCCAAGAACAATCATCCAAACTCAACAGGAGATTCACAAAAAAATTAAGGAACTTAGTAACTTTTCTCTCTTCAGGAAGAAGATAAAAAGCGGTTAAACACACCCTATTGGATCGAGTTTCTCCTTTTAAGACGAGCCCTAGGGTTTATCGAAACCATTTTAATCAATTTCGCAATCAGAAAACAAACCAGTCAAACCGAAAACTTGTGATGTCAGTGTCGATCAACACCCCTACCGAACCGGTTTATGGGTGTTACACGCAATGATAGGATATAAGATTTTATACTGAATTTGGAGTATTTTCCTAAGATGATTAGGGCTATAGAAGATGTATATAGTTCAGATTTGAAACTATTGATGCTATTATTGAAGGAAATACCATTACATTTTGATTAGTTCAATTCATCTTGGACTGATTTAGTTATCAATATGTACATGACAACAACATCCGCTATATTTAGTACATACGCCAAAATCATACTTATACTTTTTACAAAAAGCAGTGCAACCGACGTCCCCATGATCATGACACGGTTCAAATCCTCCGAAACATTGCACTGCGTCAAACAAGCTTCCATAGCCTGTTTATGAAAGAAAGGATCATTAAGCAAACATACACATTAACTATAAGGATCAAATCAATCCCATAATATATAAAAGAATACACTAGTACCTGGTGCTATCGCACGACCGTGAACAAAAGATATGATGAAACAAATGGTGAAAAAAATTGTGATTGAAGTCTTCATTGCGCTAGTCATTTTTATTATATTTCTTAAGATTGCTTTAATGAAATTTTCTAGCTTATATGACTGATTAGTGAGTATATATATATAGCACTAACATATGCAAAACTGTCATTTTATGGTAAAAAGTTAAAGGAACTTGAAATTTTAAGTTATTTCCTTATAGATTTTTAGTCAAAAAAAAATCATATTACAATGAATTTCTTACCTAATGAATTTAGTCAATGGCCAAAATTAATTCAAGAGAGATTGTAAAAAAATACTTGAAACAACTGCAACAAAACGCATGATTAAAATTCCCATAAATAAAAATTATGATGTTAACAAAAGTTTTTAAATATTAAATAAATTAGAAATTTTTACGTGATGATTGAAAATTACTTATTTTTAATCATATTTGGTTATTTCTTTTAGAGGATTTTTTTTACTTATAATTAAGATAAAATCTGTGCTAATGCACATATGACTTTTTTCGAAGAGTTAATAAATAAATTATAACTGTACTTATTTTAAAAATGTTTTCTTATTTGAGTGGTCGGTTCGACTGACTCAATATTATAAATATTAGTAAATCAAATATTTTTAATTCCAAACAGGAGTGGTCGGTTCGGCTAATCTGCTACCCCGAATTGGATATTTTCCTTACGTTTCTTGCAAATAACTGGTAATCTTTTAACTGACCAAACCATAAAAGCTGTCATTAAGCCGCGACCATATGAACCAATTGGACCGATCATATTTTCTTTCTCAAACGATAATACATACGATATGGACAAATGTTGCTGAGTCATATGCTACATGTACAAATTTTGCTGAGTCACCTGCCATGTGTCAGAAATTATTTTATGTTTTTGATAGTTCATGATGTTTATTCAAAAAAAAATATTTAGTTCAGGTTGAAATTTACACGTTATTAAAGTTTAGATTTAAAAATACACTTTTGAAATTGTTTAGTTTGAAATTTGATTTTTACCCGATTAATTTAGGTAGATATATTTTAGGAAAATAAAAATCAAATATGTAAATAATATAATCTGCAGTAGAAATATCTGATTCATACCCAACAATACGAAACTAAAGTATCCAGTTAGAATGTATTTTATTTTAAAATAAACTTTGGTTATTTTCTAATGGGTACTTCTTCTTAAATAGTAAAGATAATCTCCAAACTTTAAAATTTTGGACGTTTAAAGAAATCAAGTTTCTTGCTCTTTGGTAGGTTGAAGCATATTATTCATATTTATAATAAGTTTGAACGATTGTCTAAACTATTCTAGTTGATGTGGGACATTTTATATACACCTTTTTGTTTTATCGATTGAGTAATATTCGTTCGTTTAAAAAAATTCAAATTGCAGCATACTCCATAGTCAAACTGATCATTTTTACAATCTTCAGTGCAAACTACCACATAATCAAACAAATCAACCAAACAATCATGAAATCATTAAAAAAAAAATCAAACTGTGAAAAAACAACACACAAACTGAGAAAAAACATGGCTCTCCTAACACCAAGAGCAACAAATCTCTTCCTAACTAGGCTAGATCTCCCAAGAACAATCACCCAAACTCTCCAGAAGACTCACACAAAATTTCAGGAACTTTAGGAAATTTTTTCTCTTCAAGAAGAAGACAAAAAGGGATAAACACACTCTATGGCGTCGAGTTTCTCCTTTTAAGAATAGCCCTAGGGTTTACCTAAACCATCCTAATCAATTTCATAATCAGAAAACAAACCGGTCAAACCAAAAACTTGTGGTGTCGGGGTCGATCGACACCCCTACCGAATAGGTTTACGGCCGTTACATGCAGTGATAAGATATAAGATTTCATACTGAATTAGGAGTATTTTCTTAAGATGATTTTAGGCCTATAGAAGATAAATATATTTCAAATTTGAAACTATTGATGTTATTATTCAAGGAAATACCATTACATTTTGATTATTTCAATTCATCTTGGACTGATTTAGTTATCAATATGTACATGACAACAACATCCGCTATACTTAGTACATACGCCAAAATCATACTTATACTTTTTACAAAAAGCAGTGCAACCGACGTCCCCATGATCATGACACGGTTCGAATCCTCCGAAACATTGCACTGCGTCAAACAAGCTTCCAGAGCCTGTTTATTAAAAGAAAAAATCATTAAGAAGACATATACATTAACTATAAGGATCAAATCAATCCCATAATGTATAAAAGAATACACTAGTACCTGGTGCTATCGCACGACCGTGAACAAAAGATATGATGAAACAAATGGTGAAAAAAATTGTGATTGAAGTCTTCATTGCGCTAGTCATTTTTATTATATTTCTTAAGATTGTTTTAATGAAATTTTATAGCTTAGATGACTGATTAGTGAGTATATATATAGCACTAACATATGCAAAAATGGCATTTTATGGTAAAAAAATAAAAGAACTTGAAAGTTTATGTTATTTCCTTATATAATTTTAGTCAAAAGAAAATCATATTACAATGAATTTTTTACCTAATTACTTTAGTCAATGACCAAAATATATTCAAGAGAGATTCTAAAAAAATACTTGAAACAAATGCACCTGTTTTTTTCTAACGCATATAACTTGTGAGGTTAATAGAACTTTTCAAAATATTAAATAAATTAGAAAATCTTGATATGATGATTGACAGGGTATTTTTCTTAGTCAATATTTGGTATGATAATTGTTTTTCTTATCGTTTTTAGATTTATTAAGACGATTACGCACTATGAGAACAGTTACGAAAATAATTCTTCTATGGGCAATTCCTTCTTACCCTATTAGATTTACTATAACCCCAGATCTTTTGGTGTTGAAACATTTTTTTTTTGGTAAAGTGACGGGAGTTAGTGCCCTCCCTATATGGTGTTGAAACATTACTAATCCCTTAATTAACACCACTAGAATACGGAGGTTTCGCTATTAATTTTTTTAAAAGGATATTTTTACTTATAGTTAAATAATAGTATCCAATATCAGTTATTTTTTGTTTAATATAGACATTTTGGTACTATTTTTGTTTTAACTCAGATTCGTAACTGGGCTATATTGAACACTTCAAATTTGAGAAACTCATGTTTCCCTTTAAGATCCATTGACCAATAAGACAGACGAAATTGTTGATAGGATACACGATTTCATATTGGAATTTGGAAACATTAGATCTTGAAACTATTGAACTTTTATTATTAAGTAAAATACCAAAACATTTTGATTAGATTAATTCATCTTTGGGGGGATATCTCTGTGACAACAACATCCTCCATCTCGAGAACATACCCCATAGTCAAACTTAACGCCGAATTCGAACTTATCATTTTTACAATCGATAGTGCAGCTGACGTCTCCGGATACATGATCACGACACGGTTCATATCCTTGGCTGCATTTCACTTGGTCATACAACATTCCATAACCTGATTAATTATAAAGATCATTAAACCAATATACACATTGATTATAAGGACAAAATCATAATTAAAAAGTGGGTTATAAGAATAACTTAGTACCCGGTGTTGTTGTCATACGACAATGAACCATAGATATGATGATAAAGATAGTGAATACAAATGTGATTGAACTTTTCATTGTGATAGCCATTTTTTGTGATGTTTCAGTGAAATTTTGTAGCTTAATTAGATGACTGCTTAGTGGTTATATATATAACACAAACATATGCAAAAATGTCATTTCTGGTAAAAAAAATAAAATAAAAGGAATGAAATCATGTATATTTGCTTATAGATTCTTAGTCATATGATTATAAATAATTTGAACTTGGACTGTCAAATGATTTGCTTATAGAGATTCTTAGTCAAAACAAAATCATGTAATAATGACTTTTCTTACCTAATTAGTTGGTCAATGGCCAAACTAAATTAAAAACACATTGAATACGTTTTTTTTCCTTTTTGTTTTTTGCTTATGTTCAACAGATTTATTTCTTTCTTTGTGCCTACTAAAATGGAAGAGAAACAACTCGAAATATTAATAGTGATACAATACAAAGTAAATTGTTTGGTTTATAAAACTCGGGCTCATGGATCATGCAGCTTAGTTTATGAAACTTGAGATAGGTAATGGATGTTGTTCTACAAAGAGCTCTAGGCACTTAATCGATGTTTAGACGAACGTCTAAACCACCTAAAATTACATAAATTATATTTTTTATATATTTAACTAAATATATTTAAAATGTTAAGGTTAACATCCTTATATTGAATTATAAATGTTCATATATTGTTGATAAAAATTAAATAAAACTTTTTTCTCATATTCTTTTATGATTTATAATTTTATTTATCTAACATATAGTGTTACATAACTTTTATCTATAATATCATATATAAAATATTTTATGCTGTAAATGCTTAAACCGCTTAGAATCGCCTAGATTCTGATTAAGCGTTTTAAGCACTAGGCGTTGGGTTACCGCCTAGATATTTTTGAACATTCAACATCAACTAGATATCTATGTGAGTCTCTATAAAGTAAATATTCATATATTTATTTAATTTAATTATTTATTTACTTAATTATTTCTTGAAGCAATCATCAACAATTACGTGTATAGACAGTTTCTAAAGAGTCTCTTGACAAAGCTAGAGACAATAGTACTTTATGTATCAGATCATATTCAAAAATTCCAAAAGAACAAAAAGCAGAGAACAAAAGAAGGGATTTAGAGAACGAAAGAAAGGATTTGAAGTACAAGAAGAGAGGTGAGGACCTAGCAGCGTTCATGAGCGAGATGCGGGCAAAGCATACGTAATTCGTCTTCTTAGTTTTTATTAATTTCAGTTTTCTTTGAACAATTTCTAGTTTATTAAACTATTTCGTGTTTTCAAATTCTAAAATATTTTTTTTAAAAATATGATTTTAGAAATTTAAATATTTCTACATTTTTATTAATTAATTTATTTTAGGATATTAATTTATTTTCCTTTTTTAATTATTATGGTCTGTCGGTAATCCGTCGGTTATGACGGAGAATTTGTTTTTCGAGTTTCTGTCCGTTACGACGGAGAATTTGATTTTCGAGTAAATCCGTCGGTTGTACGTCCATCGGAAATCCGTCGGTTGTACGTCCGTCGGAAATCCGTCAGTATGTTACCAACGGATTACATTTACCGACGCTCTAGAACCGACGGACGAATCCGTCAGTAATGCGTTGGTAACGCCTGTTTCCAACGGATTACAGATGGATTTGCCCGTCGGTTTGAACTTGTTTTCTTGTAGTGAATTAGGCTGGTTCTTGATTTCTATAGAACCGGTCAGTTGCCTATTGCACTAAATGATGTGCTAGTTGTACTGATTCCTAAGGTGGGGAAGCCCGAGAAGATTACACAATTTAGGCTTATTAGTTTGTGTAATGTATTATTTAAAATCACTACAAAAACCTTGGTGGGGAGGCTGAAACTAGTGATGACAAAGCTCATAGATTAATTCATCTTTGTGGGATATCTATGTGACAACAACATCCTCCATCTTGACTACATACGCCATAGTCAAAATTCTCATTCTGACAATCGATAGTGCAGCTGACGTCCCCCGATACATTATCACGACACGGTTCATATCCTTGGATGCATTTCACTTGGTCATACAACATTCCATAACCTGATTATTGATAAAGATCATTAAGGACAAAATTATAATTAAAATGAGGGTTATAAGAATAACTTAGTACCCGGTGTTGTTGTCGTACGACAATGAACCATAGATATGATGATGAAGATAGTGAATACAAATGTGATTGAAGTTTTTATTGTGATAGCCATTTTTTATGATGTTTCAGTGGAATTGTATTGCTTTATTAGATGACTGCTTAGTGATAATATACATAACACAAACATATGCATGCAAAAATGCCATTTCTGGTAAAATAAATAAATAAAAGGAATGAAATCATGTATATTTGCTTATAGATTCTTAGTCAAATGATTATAAACAATTTGAACTTGGACTGTCAAATTATTTGCTTATAGATTCTTAGTCAAAACAAAATCATGTAATAATGACTTTTCTTACCTAATTAGTTGGTCAATGGCCAAACTAAATTAAAAATACTCTGAATACGTTTTCTTCCTTTCTTTTTGTTTATGTTCAACAGTACATTTCTTTGTTTGTGCCTACTATAATGGATGAGAAACAACTCGAAGTATTAATAGTGATACAATACAAAGTAAGTTGTTTGGTTTATAAAACTCGGGCTCATGGATCATGCAACTTAGTTTCTGAAACTTGAGATAGGTAATGGTCTAATGGATATTTTCTAAAAAGTGTTCTAGACACTCAGTCGATACCTAGACGACAGCCTAAACTACCTAAACTTACATAAATTATATTTTTCTAATTTTTAACTAAATATATTTAAAATTTTAAGGTTAACATCCTTATATATAATTATAAATGTTCATATGTTATTGATGGAAATTAAACAAAACTTTTTTCTCATATTCTCTTATGATTTATAATTTTATTTATCTAACATATATTTTTACATAATTGTTATCTATAATATCATATAATATAATGTTTTATGTTTAAATGTTTAAATCGCCTAGAATCGCCTAGGCTCCGATTAAACGTTCTAAGTGCTAGGCGTTGGGTTACTGTCTAGATACCGTATAGCGTTTTTTTGAACATTTAATATCAACTAGATATCCATGTGAGTCTCTATAAAGTAAATATTCATACATTTATTTTTATTTAATTATTTCTTGAACCAATCATCGACAACCAAGTGTATAGACAGTTTCTAAAGAGTCTCTTGACAAAGTCAGAGACAATAGTACTTTATGGAGAAGGACAAGTGGGCTAGTGGTTCTCACCTCTGTTATCTTCTCACCAGATCCGGATTCGAGTCCGGTCCCTGTCAAAGAGAGACGTATAATTTGTAATGATGAAAAAAAAAATAGTACTTTATGTATCAGACCATATTCAAAAATTCGAAATAGCGACTTAACTCAATATGGCAACGTCTTCATTATCAGGAAAGGCAATGGTTATTCGGTATTCTGTTTAAATAGCACCGACACATACATCTGTTAACCTGTTAAGACATATAATGCTAGACTTGTAACGAAATAAAGTTTTACTATTTAAGGACAATTTCAGGGTTTTCGGTTTTTTGGTTAAATATTCCGGTTATTTCGGATGCGGTTGTTTCGGGTAGTTTGGTTATTTTAGGATAAATTTTGGTTATGTGGTATTATTAACCGATAATCAAAATATTTCGGATTTCCGAATTATTATTTTTTTTCCTGCCGAGCGGTTCACACCTAATAACCGAACCCAAACTAAACACCAAAAATTTCCGTTCAGTTCGGTTATTTTGATTCGGTTTTTATCCCAAGACCATTATTTAGCGATCAAATCTACAATGACCAAAGCAAGCACACACTATATATAGACCAGATTAAGGTAGAACAACAAATAAATCTCATAGACTGTAGGATCGGGGTTAAGTGCAATACTGACCGGTATAAAAGGAAAAAAAAAAACTGATCGGTATTCATGCAAAGATAAACGATAAATAGAAATATACAAGAAAACATCAATTGGTTGTAACACATGTAATTAGTTCGATATGATTATGTTGGATCTTAAACATAAATTTCTATTGTATAACTACCATATTGTCTACACTTTTGGACTGCTCTAAGCAATTCTTTTCTTCTTATCACCAATTTTAAGAAGTTCTTTTCTAACAAACATTTATAAACAAGTTTGAATTGTTGACAAGCCCAATAGCATCAATTGTTAGTTGGCTAAGCTAGCTTTCTCATAAAATGATATATAGATCCACCTAATCAACACCATTTTTTTATGGCCTGATGAATAGACTATGGATCTTAAGTTAAATCGGCCTAATTCAACTAGAGTAGCAAGAAGAACAATCAAAGATGGAGAACTCAATCAATAATCACAAAGAAAATAACAATACTTTTACATAACCTTTCTTTAGAACTCCCAAAGTTGTTGGATAGATTACTTCCCATGCAAACCTAGGTATGTGATCATTGTTGTGATTACTGTAAATTAAAGATCTATGGCTTATCTAAAGAACTTCAAGGGTATTGAAAAACCAACCTTTAAACCATAAAGTCGTATAGTAAGCTCTTTGTTTTGCGTTAAGGACACACTATATTTATATAGTACAATGAGGATGTTATACTAGATTAAAAAACAAAAAAATGAAATTTTACATTTTCGAGCAATGAGTAGTTTAAACAAAATTGATTCTTGATAGCTAATTCTTACCCACGAGTGATAAAACTATGATTACTTGATCCAAAAACTATGGTAGTCTTATTTCCATGCCCAATCATATATAATTGTAACATATTATATAAGATTAATAGACACAACATAAAAACATGATCACTAATTCTGACCAAACACAAATATAATAATGTAGGTTATCTCTTCACGTTCTTGTACGTAAGAGAAATTAACAACGAAGATTGAGTATATCTCTCTACACGTTGTCATTCTAGAAGATGGACGTTGACTTTTTGGTTTTTTTGTTTTCATTCTCTTATTGTCCCATTTTTTGAATCAGATCACAAAACAACTTGTGCTAAAAACATATTTTCTCCAAGTTTTGTCTCAATGGCTCAGCTGCAACAACAACAACAACAACGTCTAATCTCAAACCGTCCCATCTCTCTTCTCAACCGGAACGGTCTCCTTCTCCTTCTCTTTCTAACTCTCTTTGTTATTCTTGGTGTACTCTTACCTTTAACAAAGTCTCCTTTGTTCTTGTTTCCAAACACAACATCTTCTTCTTCTATTTCTCCTTCTTCTTCTTCTTTACCATCGATATCCGATTGGCGCGACTATTCCCTTGATCAAGCTGCTAAGTTTGTGGCCAAGAATGAGACTGTGATAGTCTGTGCTGTTAGCTATCCTTTCTTGCCTTTTCTTAATAACTGGTTGATTAGTATTTCTAGACAGAAGCATCAAGAAAAAGTTCTTGTGATTGCTGAAGATTATGCTACTCTTTACAAAGTCAACGAGAAGTGGCCTGGTCATGCTGTTCTCATTCCTCCAGCTTTGGATCCTCAATCTGCTCACAAATTTGGTTCACAGGTACATAAAGAGATTTTCACCTTTTCATCTTTCTTTATTTAGCTTTCGAAACTCGGGTTTTTTAAATGTATGTACATGTGTTTTCTATTCTCTCTTCATTTTTTTTCGAAGAGTCGATGACTATTTAAGAGTAGCAACATTGACACCAAAGAAGAGTTAGAACCAATGTGATAATCTATACAAAGAAAATGTATACTAGAAGGCGAATAACCGAACTAATTTATTATATTGGATCAGGGTTTCTACAATCTTACATCTCGGAGGCCACAACATCTCTTGAACATTTTGGAGCTAGGTTACAATGTTATGTACAACGATGTTGATATGGTCTGGTTACAAGATCCATTTGACTATTTACAAGGAAGCCACGACGTATACTTCATGGATGACATGATTGCCGTATGTAACATGTCTACAACATTTTACATATTTTTAGAGTGTTTCTGTATCTTTACACTTGGTTTGGTTTTTGGTGTTTTCAGATTAAGCCTTTGAATCACTCCCATGATATACCACCTTTAAGTCGAACCGGAGTGACTTATGTATGTAGTTGCATGATTTTCTTGCGTTCCACTGATGGTGCAAAGCTTCTAATGAAGAAATGGGTTGAGGAGATTCAAGCTCAACCTTGGAATAACACCGAGGCAAAGAAACCACATGATCAGCCTGCTTTTAACCGGGCGCTTCACAAAACAAAGAATCAAGTATGTAATGTTACTTCCTCCAAATTCAATATTTGCTTCCTCTACATAGTCACAATCATATCGTTGAGTAGAACATTATAGAAGTTTACATTTAACATGGTATGATTCGGTTCAAGATCGGTGAATAAGAATCCATCTTCTCGATGGAACCTATTAGGTTCAAACATTTGTAGGTAGAGTAAAAATTTTTGGTTGCCAAACCTATTGACTCTATCTACTTTATCTACTCATAACTCTTCTAATCTACTTACGAATATTCGATTACGACATTTTATTCATTCAAAGGCTATATTTTCACTTGTTCGAATTCATTCTCAACTCTCTTGTGACCTTTCCATTAAGCAGGTAGATGCCTACTTGCTTCCACAATCAGCTTTCCCATCAGGAGGATTGTACTTCAAGAATGAGACATGGGTTAATGAGACAATGGGGAAACATGTCATAGTCCACAATAACTACATTATTGGTTACGACAAGAAGATGAAACGTTTTCAAGATTATCATCTATGGCTAGTAGATGATCATGCTCTTGAATCCCCACTAGGAATATTAAAGTAAAAATTTGTATACACCAACAAATATTTCCTCTTTTCTCTGTTGTTATCTTGAGACTAACATCAAAATCTTTGATCTTTCGTTTTGCTTCTCAGGATATATCAAGAGCCAAACACTACTGAAGTGAAAAATCAGAGGAAAATAGTGAGAAAACAGAGGAAAAACAGGGGTAAAAAACAGAGGTTACCATAGAGAGGACTTCATTAGTACAACAAGTATAGGATCTCAATGTTGTTGGGCAGAGATTTTTTCAAAGTTACTATTTCACTAGTATCTTTTATGTATGGTATGTTCAGTAAAAATATTCTAATCTATATAATAATAACAAAGGACATTTCTCAAAAATTCTCTAATAACAGTTTGCAAAAGATCTTTCGGGAGGCGTACCCAAGAAAGAGTCTTCGATTACAATAAACAGATGCGACAAACTGTATCATATTCAAGGACATCGCAAATGTCCTGAGCATCAATTAAGATGTGGCGTTTCCAGGGTTCTTGTCTATAAATGGCTTGTCTTCCCATTTCTTGTAGTAATTTGTGCATCACTATATCTCCACTCCATTGGTAGATATGTCTATGAGAGATCTATGTACTAGGTTTATCAACCCATGTTCAATATCGAAATTATCGTCACCAAGCATGGCTTTTACATAAGCTTCATCTTTGTAGTTGAAGAAGATCGCGATGTGAAGAAACATAGCTTGATCTTTTTCATGTATACTCTCATATCCAACTCTTAAAACTCTCTGGAGATCTCCATCAAGGCTAGTTTGTAAACTATGCACTATATTTTTCCATTCATTTTCACTTTTCTCACGTAGAGTCAACCCACAACACGAAGTCCTAATGGAAGATTACTACAAAGCTCTATTACTCTTATTGCAAGCTTTTCAAAACCATAATGTGGTGAGCTTCGCCTAAAAGCTCTATTACTCTTATCTACAAAAGATTCTTGACACTTTGTAGAAAACCGTCATCACTATTTGTTCCGAAGAAGCATAGTTCTTTGTATAGTTCTTGAAGAAGCATAATTCTTTGTAGAAAACCGTCAACACCAACTTGAAGAAGCATAGTTCTCTGAGAGCATCACCATCAAGATTCTCGATTCTCTTATCACCCGTGAGAGTTCAGAACTGATGGTTTGGCTTCTCTCGATCGCCTTATCCTTGAAGGTTATGATCTCATTGTGTTCAACCTGTTTTTGTAAATGACTTAGAAAAGTTACACGGACGTGGAAGCTCGGGAAGACGTTGTATCCCCAACTCCGAGAAGAAGAAGAAAAAGAAGAAGAGGAAGCCATGAGAAATAATTTCAAAGACAACAGAATCAGATAGTTAAAGCTTTATACATGTATTAAGAACATTTCAGTGTATGTATTTGACTATTTACGGAACACTTGCAACTTTATGAACATATTTGTCAAAATTTTAGAAAATGTCATTGTCAGTGACGGGCTTGTATTGAGCGAGTTTAGTTCAAACAAGTGTTAAAGATTTGGCGATTTTTCAAATCTCACGATTATTTTTCATCAAAGATGGTCATGATCGTTTCATAATCACAAGCAACCGCGACTGCGATTTTAAAATCGCATTATGTTGTTCGTTTCGTTATAGTGAAACAGTTATAGCCGTAAAACATGAAGAGTTCGTGACACAGGTTTCTTACGTTTCCATTATTTCAAACCTGAATATCTCCTGTGAATCTGAATATCCCCTGTGAATTTGGTAACTTTAGGCAGATGTATTATATATTGCAGAACATGAAAACATGTCAGATTCCCTGAATTAATACATATTTATAACCTGCAGCAAATCAAGAGGTCTCGAAAGTTAAACATGTACTAGGCTTCTTACACATACTAAGCCTTGTTTTTGACTTATGCAGTTTCATGAATGCACGGTGTCGTTTAGTGCGTTTCTACCAAGCCTCTAAAGGTCAAGGCAGTTCTGATTGAAGCTAAATTAAGGTAGAGAGACAGGGACTGTACGAAGTTTACCACATTACACACAAGGATGCAAACACAAAGCTAAAATGCAAGAACTGTGTTCATCATCATGAGTCATGACTATACATATTTTATAATCCAACACAAAGCTAAACAATACAGATCACATTAAACTAAACAGATCACATAAAACTAGCATTGATATCTCATTATGTCCATTTTCGAACAAACAACAACAGATTGACAGATTACTGCTGAATATGGCATCAAACACAGAAAAGTGTGATTATATGCATATTCTAACTAAATTTATCAATGATTCAATAGAGAATCAGGTTTCCATCGACTTCTAAGAGACCAAAGGATATGCAGTAGTAGTGGAAAAAGATAAAGTCAAACGAGCACATGTGGTAAAATCTAACACATAAGTCATCAATCTATGATGCAAAATTTGACAAAAGTTATTTCACATGTTTATATCAATCACCAAGGATTCAAAGCATAACACAAAACAAATCTATTCATGATTCAAAGGCAAATACTATTCATAGTTTTCATAAAACAAGAAACCTTATGATAAATCCAGTTACTGTAGTAAAGACTAAAGCCAAGGGGTACAAATAATCATTAGCTGATAAATGCATCATTCCACAATGTCGTTTCACATGCTTTAGAGTTTATAATAATCAATCACCATGGGTTTATAGCATAAACCAAAACAAATACATTCAAGATTCAAAAATAGTATTTTACGATAATGTGAAAGAATATCACATACATTCAAAATAACTATCTATAGAAGACTCCAAAATGCATCTGCTTCATAAACTAAAATAGTTTATTATACATACAAACACCAAAACAGAGATAGTAAGTATTATAATCACACAATGTAATGTTCCAATAGCCTTAGTAAAACTCTATCTTTTCTCAGTGTATGAATGCATGACCGTAGGATGAAATTCACATGTTTAACACAAGCACCAAAACAGAGATAGTAAGTATTATAATCACACAATGTAATGTTCCAATAGCCTAAGTAAACTCTACCTTTTCTCAGTGTATGAATGCATGAACGTAGGATGAAATTCACATGTTTAACACAAGCACCAAAGGTATAGAGCAAAACAAATACTTTCAAGATACAAGAAAACTACAATCATAATCTGTAGAAATCACAACTATTGTCAAAATAAATATATTCAGAGACTCGAAGATGCATCCATTATATAGAATAAGAGACTTTCTAATAACACACAAGCATACACTGAGAAACAAAGAGAAGATGCATCCATTGTATAAAATAAGAGACCTTCTAATAACACACAAGCATAAACTGAGAAACAAATATAATATAATGTTCCAATACCCAAAACAAAATCACCATTTTATATTAAAGATACCTTAGCAATAATTTTCTAGAATTTGCATGATAAATAAAGGATAGTAATGAAAGTAAGACAACTGACATAATTAAACAATTTTAATTATATATGGTGCGTACATCTGTAAAAAATCAACTCATAACAGAGAAGTCGAGATAAGCATATACCTGATCCTTTGCATCAGTGAGAATATGAACCTGAGAAATTGAGATAAGCATATACCAAAACTGTGATTTTCATATACAAACAAGTTTGCAAAACACATAAAAACAAAAACATAAAGGTTAGAATAGTGTCTACCTGTCAAAGAAGTGTCCTACACTTGAATCTACTCAAAGTCTTAATATCTGCACATCTCCAGAAGCACATACCTGAGGAAAACATAATTCGTTAGTATTATATATTAATTGAATGCCCTATACTTACCTCTTTTTGTCAAGTATCCTTGTCTTACAACTTTTCAAAGTCGTTTGTCTATAATCTTTAAGTTCATTGTCTTCTCATAAGGCTTCTTTTCTCTGCTGGTCGTTTTTACCAACCCAACAAGTTAGTCTTTTCTCTGCTGGTCGTTTTTACCATCCAGCATAGTCTTTTGACCCTTTGTCTTTGTCTCATGTCTCATTAAGCTGTCGCTTTTTTAATTTCTCCAAGCCGAGGGTACCAAACTGTGAGAACTCTTAGGTTCTTTTATGCTACTAACCCGTAGGTTCATTCCCAGCCAACAATGCATGCACTACCAAGCCAATCATCAAGGATCGCTCTTCTTATAACTCTCAGCCATAGTCTTTGCACCCTTTGTCTTTGTCTCATGTCTCATTAAGCTGTCGCTTTTTTTACTTTCTGCAAGCCGAGGGTACCAAACCAGCCAACAATGCATGCACTACCAAGCCAATCATCAATGATCTCTCTTCTTTTAACTCCCAGCCATAGTCTTTTGACCCTTTGTCTTTGTCTCATGTCTCATTAAGCTGTCGCTTTGTTTAATTTCTCCAAGCCGAAGGTACCAAACAGTGAGAACTCTTAGGTTCTTTTATGCTACTAACCCGTAGGTTCATTCCCAGCCAACAATGCATGCACTACCAAGCCAATCATCAAGGATCGCTCTTCTTTTAACTCTCAGCCATAGTCTTTGCACCCTTTGTCTTTGTCTCATGTCTCATTAAGCTGTCGCTTTTTTTACTTTCTGCAAGCCGAGGGTACCAAACCAGCCAACAATGCATGCACTACCAAGCCAATCATCAATGATCTCTCTTCTTTTAACTCCCAGCCATAGTCTTTTGACCCTTTGTCTTTGTCTCATGTCTCATTAAGCTGTCGCTTTGTTTAATTTCTCCAAGCCGAAGGTACCAAACAGTGAGAACTCTTAGGTTCTTTTATGCTACTAACCCGTAGGTTCATTTCCAGCCAACAATGCATGCACTACCAAACCAATCATCAAGTATCTCTCTTCTTTTCGTTCCCAGCCATTGTCTTTTGATACTTTGTCTCTCTCTTATGTCTCATTAAGCTGTCGCTTTTTTTAATTTCTCCAAGCTGAGGGTACCAAACTGTGAGAACTCGTAGGTTCTTTTATGCTACTAACCCGTAGGTTCATTCCCAGCCAACAATGCATGCACTACCAAGCCAATCATCAAGGATCGCTCTTCTTTTAACTCCCAGCCATAGTCTTTGACCCTTTGTCTTTGTCTCATGTCTCATTAAGCTGTCGCTTTTTTAATTTCTCCAAGCCGAGGGTACCAAACTGTGAGAACTCTTAGGTTCTTCTATGCTACTAACCCGTAGGTTCATTTCCAGCCAACAATGCATGCACTACCAAACCAATCATCAAGTATCTCTCTTCTTTTCGTTCCCAGCCATTGTCTTTTGATACTTTGTCTCTTTCTTATGTCTCATTAAGCTGTCGCTTTTTTTAATTTCTCCAAGCCGAGGGTACCAAACTGTGAGAACTCTTAGGTTCTTTCCCAACCAACAACTCGCAACCATGCATGCACTACCAAGCCAAACATCAAGGGTCTCTTTTCTTTTCATCCCCAGCCACTTGTGTCTCGATAAGCTGTCGCTTTTTGTTTATTTTTCCAAGCCGAGGGTACCAAGCAGTGAGAACTCTTAGGTTCTTTTGTGTTACTAACCCGTAGGTTCATTCCCAGCCAACAATGCATGCACTACCAAGCCAATCATCAAGGGCCACTTATGTCTCAATAAGCTGTCGCTTTTTTTTTTTGTAATTTTCCAAGCCGAGGGTACCAATATCTGAGAACTCTTTGGTTCTATCATGTCTTTGTCTTAAGACTTAATAACCCGTAGGTTCATTCCCATCCAACAAATCCAAAACCCCTTTTCCAACTCGCAACAATTCATGCACTACCAAAGCCCATAGTTCACAATCTTGCTCGGGACAATGTCCCCAAAATAGAATCTGACAGAACACCATTAGATTAGTGTCTGCCCATGATCTGTTTTGGGTTTTGAGAAAACAAAACAAAAACAAAAACATGAAAAACTAAAACCCCCCATAACATAAGAATCCGCAAAACAAGTAACCAGAACCCAAAAAAAAAACGCTTTGAATTCTTATGAAAGAGAGGGTTTTTTTTTTCTGGATCAAGAAAACAAAAACCCAAAACAAAAACTTGATTCAAGAATCACAATACAACAAAAGTCAACTGCTCAAATCCTCAAAAAACTGAAAACAACAAAATCGAAAACAAAATCAAAATCAAAAACAAAACCGGAGAGATTGGAAAAACATACCTCGACGAAGCTTCCGTGGTTAGATTCGAAACATAATCCCTAAAACAAGATTTAACAAAACAGCAAAAGATTAGTTTTTTTGGTCAAAACAGAAAAAAGATTAGTTAAATTTCAAAACCCTAAAGAAAATCACGAAGAAGATCAAAGGAAGAAGAAAGAAACCCAAACCCTAGATCAGTACAACATATAGAACAGTTAGTAAAATCTGAAAACCTAAAAAACCAAACACGATGAAGAAGAAGAAGATTAATGCCCAAATCAAACCAAAATCACAAAACCCTAGATTGATCAATAAGAACGATTGAAACAAAACTTACGAATCCTAAAAACTAATTAGCGATACAGAGAGATTGAAATACAAACCTGAAGATTAGTTTAGTTCCAATTTTCTCAAGATTCTTCGGCGAGAAAGAAAAAAAAAAGTTGAAGAAGAGAAAAAAAAATAAAAATGTTTGTGTGGAAATAAAAAAAAGATGTTTCTTCGGAGATATATATTATTGTTGATGTGTTCTGTAACGGATATAATTACACCTAATATGACCGTTGATTTCGTCAGATATTTTAAGATCCTACGGTCCTGAAATGTTCCTCGATTGATAGTGATTTTGTTGTTTCTGGGAATATAAACAAAACGCAAAGGTGATTACCGTTTTATGTTTCTTTCAGAACGGTAAAATATAGGCCCATGCAATAAGGCCCAAACTTTTAAAAATTTAAATTTTAAATTTAAAACCTTAACGTTTTTTTCCGTTGTGTTTTCTCTTCGTTCCGAATAATCGAAGATGCAATCGAATTGTGTGATAGATATTTATCTGTAGGAAGTAAATATAAAATAATTTTTTTTTTTTTTTTTATTACTCAGGGTAAATCCCCGGACCTATGGAAGGATCCGAGACTAATCCTTGGGGAGAGGGTATCCCACGGGTAGGGTCCCCCCAGAAAATAATTTTAGTTAGAGAAAATATTTTATCCTTTTTTGCATTAATTCGCTAAAAAAAAAAAGTGTGTGATTGTGTCACTTATTTTAAATATTTTCATAATAAGTTTTACATCACTTATATGGGTATAACTTTATAAGTGGTGGTTAAAGAAAAATTTTGCATCCATTATTGTAGTTGATATTATTATTATTCATGAGTTGCAAAACGATAATGTTAATTTTTATTAGTTAATAAAAATGATGTTAGTATTTGAATGCATATTTACATTGGTTATAATAAGTCTTGTTAAGTGTTCTCATCTCCATGGAGTGATTTCTGAGAATCAAGCTGCTTTCATTCTTGGGAGAATGATTATTGATAATATTATTGTAGCTCATGAAGTGCATCACGCCTTAAAAGTTTGAAAAAAGCAATCAAAGTCTTATATGGGAGTTAAAACATATATCACGAAATCTTAGCTATGATCGTCTTGAATGGGATTTTTTTGGAGAAAACAATGACAAACCTGGGTTTTGACAGAAATGGATTCACTGGATTGTGGCTTGTGTTTCTTCAGTAAGTTACTCAGTGTTAATTGATGGTGTTCCTCATGGTATGATTCAGCCAAGAAGAGGGTTAAGACAAGAAGACCTTCTGTCTCCATACCATTTCATTTTTTGTGCTAAGATTCTGTCTCAATTGATCAATCAAACTGCAGTGTCAAGAAAACTTCAGGGAATCAAAATCAGCAATGGTGGTATTCCTATAACTCATCTTTTATTTGCTGATGACTCCCTGTTTTTTACTTTAGCCAATGACAAGTCTTGCACTACTCAGGAAAAATATTTTTACTACTTATGAGCAAGCTTCTAGTCAGGCCATCAACTTAAGAAAATTATCAATCACTTTAGGTAGTAGAGTTCACCGTGATGTTAAAAGAAGGATCAGACAAAAGTTGGACATCCACAATGATGGTGGCAAAAAGTATTTGGGATTACCAGAACAGTTCAGTTTAAAAAAATCTGAAATGTTCCAATACATTTTGGATAAGGTGAAGGAAAGAACTCAAGGTTGGAGAAAATCTTATCAATCATCCGTCGTTAAAGAGGTATTACTCAAATCTATTGTCCTAGCTATGCCTATTTACTCTATGAATCTCTTTCGCCTTCTAAAAGAAAATTTTGAGGAAATAAATGGCATTATAGCTCGCTATTGGTGGTGTACTGATGATCAAAAGAGGAATATGCACTGGCTTGCTTGGAGTAGAATGAGTTTTCCTAAAAAAGAGGGTGGTTTGGGGTTTTCGAGAAATATAACATTTTATCACTGCTCTTCTTAGTAAAAAAGTTTGGAGAGTTATGAGAACCCCGATTGCTTGCTAGCAAAGGTGTTAAAAGCTCGCTATATTGCTAACTCTAATATCTTTCTTGCTACTGATAAGGCTAAATCATCTTTTATCTGGTAGTCGATTTTGCATGGGAGAGATTTGTTAAATCAGGGGCTCCGTTTTGTTATTGAAGATGGATCTATGATTAACGTTTGGCAGGATCCATGGCTTCCTCTCGACCACTACATGAATATTGGTTTTTTATAGCACTGAAGTACAACGTTTTGTGTAGTTGTGCTATTAATAACTTATTAAAGAGTTTGTAATAGCGTTTAGGAAAACTAAACGTTATGATATGTTTTCTATTTGACAAGTAATACCCACGCGTGTTATTTCATATGCCTTAATTGTTTTTTTTTTTTTTATAGCAAATGCTTTATTAAATCGCTAACGTATGTTTGGCGGAATATAGCCAATTATTTTGGCTCCGAAATAAAAGTAAAGTACCCTCCAAGAGCTCCTTTACCTAAACACGATAATGTGTAAAATCTGAGAGTTACTGATTTGTTAAATGAAAACCTAATTGGCTGGAATGAAGATACAGTGTAGGAGTTGATTCATGATGATGATATTGATTCAGTTTTACACCTAAAGATAAAAAGTGGAGCAGTTGGGGATTTTTTAGATTGGCACTACACCTAAACTCCTACTGGCTTACACCTTTCTTTAGATTGGCACTACAACCCCAGTTTTACACCTAAACTCTACTTTAGAGAGTGAACTCCATGCGATTATAATGGCTGCTTTCAACGGTTATAAAAAAAACTGCATCTAGTATGGGATAATAAAGAAGTCATCCAAATTCTTCGTGGTAAGACTCACGATTTTGTTGCTCTAAACTGGATAAGAGAAGTGAAGATATGGTGCTCAAGATTTGAAGATCACAAGTTCAGTTGGATTTCAAGAGAAGGCAACAAATGTGCTGATATGTTGGCAAAAACTTCAATCCCGGAAAATAATTATGTTATGTATTATTCCTACATCCCAATTCCCAGCCCTCTTGGTCTCTCAACTTCATTGTGATTTCTGTATGTATTATAAACAATTGATGTTAAAATTAATATAATATTAAATATTTATTAATTAATATAAAAAACTATTAAAATAATTTTATGTTAATAGTTTCTTATTGAACTTTACACTTTTTGACACCATGAAAAATAATAAGGTCACTATATTATATAAGATAAACTTTTGATGTCTCAAATTGTGTTTTCTTTAATTCTCTTTATGCTTTGCTTATGTTTTTCTCATGTTTTGCTTATCTTTTTTCTTAGTATTTACTTAATTTTTTTGTTTTTTTTTTCATTTTTTCTAAAATTTGTTAATACATATAATGTAGTGACAAAACTATAGTCGAAAAATATATATCATATAACACATATGAAGAGGATACAAAGTGTAAAGCCTAAAGCGTGACGGCCACAACTTATGGTGCGATTTGACTAATGTTCTTTTACGTTGTTGGTTCGATATAAAGAATATGAGAAATAAATTTAGGGAAAATTGGAAAAAGGGACATATTTCGAAAACTTTGTCTATCTATATTTTTTTTAAAAAAGTTGTCAATCTTGACTTAATCACCCTTACTAACATATAAATCAAATTTTAAGCATTTTTAAAAGTTGAAAATTAGAAAATAATGTTAATAAGGAATTATGAATTATATTTGAAGAAGATGATTTTGAAAACTATTAGTTTTTTATATAGACGATTTTTGTTCTGAAAAGTTTAGAATACGTTTTCTTATTTCTAAAAAAAATTAGATTATGCATTCTACCATTTTTTGCATATTCTGAAATATTTAGATTATCTATTCTACCAGTTTGTACATGTTCTAAGAATTTTAGAACTGAAACATGTTATTGGATCATTGATTTTGAAGATATAAGTAAGAATGTGGTGTTTGTAATATATAATTCTAGATCATAACATATTGTTATAATGCAAAATGCAAAATACAAATCGCAAATTTTGAGCTTTAGAAGTTTCACTCTGCAGATTTCGATCAAAAAATATGTTTTTGTTCAAATGTTCTTTAAATTATCCTCCAAATTATATTTCAACTCTTCTTAAATTAAATTACAAAACTATTTTTTTTGTTAATTTACATATGAACCGAATGAACAAAAACATATTAACAAGACATATTGTTAGTTTTGTTGTTAATCTACATACACTAAGTAGTAAAGGAACTTGTACAGTGGTACGACATTGTCTTAATGTTAGAGAAGATCAAAGTAAGATGGACAACTTTAACAAAAACAAAAGAAGAAAAATGCAGAGAACCCATTTCTTCAGATTCGTAGTAGTAGTACTTGTCATCGTCCTCTTCTTGGACATGGATTCTAAGTTACTGTCCTCTGTGACATCCTCATCTTTGTCTTTGGACGCTACACTGTGATCGTCTTTTTCTTCCTTGTCTGATAATTCGTCGAATACATGTGTATCCCATAGGTCATCTTCATCTCCAGATCCCTCATTGTTGTTTATGTCTGGTTCCTCAGTCAAGATCTGGACACCACATTCAATAATGTCGAAAACTTGGCCTATGCTGCTGAATTCGAGCACTATCTCTCTGCTAGAAGGGCTAAAAAATGGCGACGGATAGATGTCCAATATATGAAATATAAACAGATGTTCCATTCGGTATTTGTAGACATCGTGTAGGATAAACTTGATGTCAGTGGAGTGTACTGAGTTGCCAATGACTATGCAACGACACAATAGTCTTGAAACTATAGTAGAATCTCTGGTTTTCGGATCGAACTCTGTCGAAATCACGATACAAACCTTCAACTTGTGGAAAGCAGAAGGAGGAATTGTTAACTTATTTCCTTTGGCTCGGTGATGGAACTCTTTAGGTACTTTTCTTCCTGGTAAGATAGCCCGCCCGCTCTCAAACCAGTTTTGAATAATCTCTTGACGTGATTGTTGACCCAATTTGAAGCAGTTGCAGAAATCTAGCTCTGCATCTGGAATGTTTAAAGGGCCACTTATTCTCTCCAATGATTTACAATGGTTTGCACGTAGCCATTCGAGCGAACCGGGGAGCTTTGGCAATGACGTGAGTTTCTTGCAGTATGTTAAAGCAAGGACACGTAGATTATGAAGACCTTTGATGCAGTCTGCAATACTCTCAATACCACATTTGTCTAGGTGTAGCTCTTTCAAACTCGTGGGGAGATGCGTTGAAAAGGTCTTGAGATTTACACTGCCACTTATATCAAAAGACTCGAGACACGACAAATGCCGAAGTGATTCAGGACATTCTTCAACCATTGTCTCCATTACAGAGAGCTTAGTGATGTTGGTGGGAATATCCGGAAAACTTTTCAACTGTAAGCATCCCATCATCTTGATTTCTTTGAGATATTCCAAGTTTATTAGAGTTGGAATGACTTTTAGACTTCTGCAATGATTCGTCTCTAAGGAATCTAGCTTACGAAGATTTGAAATTGAGGATGGAAGCTCTACCAAAGCGATGCATTCATACAGATCCAATCTCTCTAGATTTGTAGCATTTGAAAGATCTGGAAGTTTCTTCAACCAAGATGACCTAGAGAGTTTCATCTTCTTGAGATTTGCAAGCGGCTGAATGTTAAAATCAGAACGTAATGAGATTGTTTACTACGTTACCATTGCTATAATATCAAATGTAAGCTCTCTCATCAACAAACATAACTAACCTGAGTTCCTTCCCATAGCTCCTCGAGTTTGCTAGACGCCATGTCGAGCTCCACGAGATTTTCTGGGCAGAATCTTGAAGGAAGACTCCTTCTCGGGTATGCATCCCAACGTAGTAACCTTAGGCGAGGAAGAAAATCCATATCCTCTGGAATGTGAATGTTCAGTTGTTTTTCTTCAGTAAACCACCGGTCGTAAACTTTTAGGATGAAAAGATTATGCATTCTTTCGAAAGCCCTTGCGCTTATTGATAATTTGTTGATCTCCGCTACGTCAAGTGATATACCCGTAATTGATCCATTACCCTAACAAAACAATATTCCAGAGCAAAATTTGTTACTAGCAAGAAGATATGCTTAAACAGAAGTTAACAAACCTCTCAAATAGAAAGCTTACTTCAGCATTTTCCAAAACATAACAAATCTCTTGTGTATCTACGAGAATCTGGCGTTTCCAAGGCTCTTGTTTGGATATAACTTCTCTAGCCATTACTCGTAGCAAACGATGCATTACAACTATACTCTTAGCGCCATGACCTATATGGATGAGATGTCTATTGGCCAATATTTTTAACCCAAGTCTAACATCCATTTTAGTTTTTGACAGCATGGATTTCACATAATCAACATGTTTAAGATTGAAGAAGACTGCAATGAAGAGAAATAGAGCTTGGTCTCTCTCATGTAAACTGTCATAGCCCACTTTCAACACACTCTCAATTCTTCCATCGAGACAAGTTTGCAATCTCGGTAGTTCTTCTATCCAGTCAACATAGTTCTTTCCCCGCAACGACGAACCCAAAACATGCAGAGCCAATGGAAGATTACCACAAATCCTAGTAACTCCGATCGCAAGATTCCTAAACACTTTCGGTGGAGAGATTTGTCTAAAAGCAGATTGACACAAGATCATTAAAGCTTCTTCTTCCGATGGAAAACCCACTTGGTATATATCACTAATACCATGTTGCTGCAAAACCTCTTTGTTTTCACTAGTCACAATCACCCTACTACCCGGACCAAACCATCTAACATCAGCCAAAGCCTCAAGTTGATCTAAACTCTCAGCATCATCAAGAATAATAAGAACCTTCTGGTCATGTAACCTTTCTTGTATCACACCCGAATGGCTTATCCTAACACCATTTAAGTTCAAAATCTTCGAAAGAAGTTGCTCTTGTAACCGCAACTTCAAACCATACTCAACAACACCAACCTTATAATTCTCACGAAGGTTATCCATAAAACAAGTATGCTGAAACGTTTTAGATACCATACTATATAAACTTCTAGCAATGGTACTCTTACCAATCCCTGCAGGACCAGAGATCCCAACAATCTTAACTCCATCATAACCTAAATCAAGCAAAGACTCAACTTTTCTCAAATGATCATCTAATCCAACCATGCCATCAAAATCTCGCGACGGCGTAACATTGAGTTTATCTGAAACATCAATTGCAATCTTCTCAATCATTTCTGCTTCATTGTCCCTAACAAAGTAAACAAATCCATCAGAGTTTCCCAAAACTGACAATTAAACACAAAAAATATAAAACACAAACCAGTTTTGGAAGTGTTCTCCAGCTATGTTACCAACATAGGTCAAAGCTTGACTCCATTTTCGCCTCTTCTCCTCTGTTTTACTCACACAAGTTTCATCAAAAACACTACCGAAATCTCCGGTTTGTTTGCGGACATCAGAAGGATCTACGCTGTAGAAAACAGTCATAACAATTTGCTCAAATTCTTCTTTGCAGTTCAAAATCTCCAACAGCTCATCCAAACACCAGCTTGAAGAAGCGTAGTTCTTCGAGAGGAGAACGATGGAGATCCTCGATTCTCGAATCGCGTCGGTGAGAGATGGAGCGATGATTTGGCTTCTCTCGATCGCTTGATCATCGAACATTGTGATTCCATTGTAAGTAAACTGTTTGCGTAAATGACTGAGAAATGTTTTGCGTACGTCTGGTCCGTGGAAGCTTGTGAAGACATTGTATTTCCAGGTACGAGCTAAAGAAGAAGAAGAAGAAGAAGAAGAAGAAGAAGAAGAAGAAGAAGAAGAAGCCATGAGAGATGAGTTTGAGTTTGTTTCACTGAGTGTTTCCGCTTTGTTGAAGTTTCTTTGCCTTTTTCATTTCTCAGAAGTGAAACTTGTCAACACCAATAATTTCAGCATTGATTGACTTTGGAGAGATGAGTGAGTGAGCTTCGTTTCTAGTAAAAAGGCATTGTAGAGAGATTGATTATTTTGCATATTATGTTAGGCCCATATTAAGCCCATGAATTATTCTGAAAGACCCAAAATAGTTTCTTTTTTTTTTTTTTGGTGGGAGAAATAGTTTCATTTTTCGAAAAACAATATCAAATATTCGTTTATGAAGAAACGATTATCTATGGGTATATTGACATTTTTCAAAAAAAATTTCAACCCGCGCGGAACAATTTTTCTTTAAATTAAATTTGTTAATTTTGTTTATTATGTTTAGGGTTTAAGATTGTGTAACTGAATTATGATTGTTAATTTTAAAATTTAATTTACAGTATAGCGGTGAGATAATAAAAAAATAAAAATAAGTTGTGTTTGTTTATTAATTTTGTTTAGTATTAAAATTGTACAATTGTATTTTGATAGTTATTCTATATATTAACCCGTGAAAAATTACATGACAATTTTATTTTATTTTTTATATAACCGTAATTTAATCAACTTAATTAAATATATTAGATATCAAATAATAAAATAATAATGACATACCATCTTTCATTTTACTCATTTTACTTAAGACTCATTTTATCGTTTTAAGACTATACGAGATAAGCTTCATTATACTCGAAGGACATAGATGATAATTGATTATTATAACACTCTCCTTTTGATTAAAACTTAAAACTTAAAACGATAGATTATTGTGAGGAAAAATATAATTCTACTTGTTAATTATGTGCCAAATCGAGTTATATATGAACTAAAACATTGGCTCTAACTAATTGATATGCACCCTCTCTACAAATACCAAATGTATCATTGGCTAATTGTATATATGATTCTACATAAGCACTTGGTTATAGATATACAACTACGTACTATACACCAATGAGTTCAAAGACATACCATAGTTGCTAATACACAGATTGGAAATATCAAAGAGCATGCGCATGCTTGTAGGCTGACGTGGTGCCGTCACTGTTTTAAAAACTTGTACCTCACGTCATCGTCGATGTGTTTTGGGACTCTATAGAATCGTCACATAATTATAGATTAGCCTAACTAAAAAAACAGATTTGTCATCACATATTTAGGAACTTGCTTGATACTGATTCGTAGTCACAATTGTGGACGATATCTTCATCTCTGTATTCGGACACTGATTCAGAATTTGTCTCCCTCTTCATTGTCTTCTTTGTCGGACACTTCTCCTGATTCACATTCAGATGTCCAGTTAGCAAAACTATCATCGTCCTCTTCATCTATCCGCATATGGAATCCAGTACTTGGTTCCTCTTCATCTATCCTCATACGGAATCCATAAGTTGGTGGAGGTATAGCATCAACCTCTACGGACAAGAAAGATGCAGTAATGGGAGCAAAGTTTATCCTAAGACGCTTCCTTGATACAGATTCGTGGTTAGCATCATCATCGATACCCTTATATTGCTCTTGAACCGCTTCTCTAGAATCAGATTTGTAACTCTCTTCATCATCTTCTTGGTCAGATGTTTCACTAGATTCAGAATCAGATCTCCCCTTAGCTATACCATCCTCGTCTTCTTTAGCAGATGCTTCGCTTGATTCAGATTCAAATGTATTGTTAATTGCATTATCATCGTCATCGTCATCGTTAGATCCGTTGTTGCTTTCATCGATTTCGTCTGTCAAGATCTTGACACCACAGTCAAGAATGTCCAAAACTTGTTTTGTGCTTCTGAATTCTAGCATTACCTTTCTGCTAGCTTTAGAGGTGTCTATAAATGTCAAGCTAGTGTGAAATATCAGTAGATGTTTCGCTCGATACTCAAAGACTTTGGATAGGTAGAACTTCATGTCAGCGGAGTTTACTGAGTTGTCAATGACTTTGAAATGACAATGTAGCTCTATTTCCATAAATTCTATGATTTGATGGTTGGGAGAAATTACGACGCAAACCTTATATCTGTTGGAAGCAGAATAAGGAATTGTTAAGGAATTTCCTCTCACTCGGTGATCAAACTCTGGAGGTACTTCTGCTCCGGGTAAGAGAGCCCATCCATGAAGATATGATCCTTTGGTAATCGTTCGTTGTGCTTGTCTACCCAATTTTATGCAATTAGTGAACCTGAGCACTGCATTTGAAGTGGTTAAGGGGTAACTTACTCTCTCTAGTGATTCACAATCTTCAGCGCTTAGCAATTCGAGCGAGCTAGGGAGCTCTGGCAATGACTTGAGTCTTTTGCAGCCTGTTAAAACAAGGAATAGTAGATTATGAAGATCTTTGAGGCAACTTGTAATCCTCTCAATACCACTATTACTCAGGCTTATACGTGATAGACACGTCGGGAGATGTGTTGAGAAGGTCTTGAGATTTTTATTGGAACATAAATCAAGAGTTGTAAGACGCGAGCAATGCCTAAGCGATGTAGGTAGTTCCTCTACTCCAGTATCGTATATCTCGATTTCCGTGATGTTGGTCGGAATATCAGGTAATCTTCTGAGCCTTGAGTTTTGAAACATCCAGATGCTTTCAAGAGATGCCAAGTTAATGAGACTTGGAATGACTTCTAGACTTTTGCAGCTAGTCAACCCTAAGTAATCTAATTTATGTAGATTCACAATTGAGGATGGAATCTCAACCAAAGCAGTGCAACTATTAAGATTCAAACTCTCTAGATTTGTGGCATTTGAAAGATCTGGAAGTTCCTTTAAATGAGATGACACAGCGAGATTCATCGTCTTGAGATTCGCAAGCGGCTGAATGTAAAAAGCATAACATACTGAGAATGTTAGTTCATACTATTTTGTATTTTGTTATTTTAGTATTGCCAATTTGAAATACACATTAATAACGGACCTGAATTCCTTCCCATAGCTTCTCGAGCTGGCTATATGCCATGTTGAGTTCGACAAGGTCTTTCAGAAAAAGTTTTGGAGGAAGACTCTTTCTTGGATATGCTTCCCAATGTAGTAATCTTAAGCAATGTGGAAGCTCCATCTCCTCTGGGATGTGCAGTTGTCTTTTTTCACCGCGCATCCCATCATAAATTTTTAGGAATGAAAGATTGCACATTCTTTCAAAAGCCGTCGCGCTTATTCTTAGTTCATTGATCTCAGCTACGTCAAATGATACACCTATAATTGATCCATTACCCTAACAAATATTTCAAAATAGAGATTGTTAATTGCTAGAGATTCAGCTTAAACAACAAATAATATAAATATACAAAAGGTTTGGAAATAGAATACTTACTTCTGCCTTCTCTAGAATATAACAAATTTCATTGGCATGGACTAAAATCTGACGTCTGCAATGTTCTTGTTTGGAAATGACTTGTCTAGCCATTACTTGAAGCAAATGGTGCATTACCACTATATTACTTTCACATTGTATGAGATATCTTTTCTCTAGGATTTTCAACCTAAAACTAACATTCTGGTTAGTTTTTGCTAGCATGGATATCACATGATCAACGGGTGCACAATTCAAGAAGACTGCAATGAGGAGAAAGATAACTTGGTCTTTCTCATGTAAACTCTCATAACCCCTTTTTAATACACTCTCTATCCTTCCATCAAGACAGTTTTTCAAACTTGGTAGTTCATCTATCCATTCAGCCTCACTCTTTCCCCGCAATGACGACCCTAGAACATGTAGACCTAATGGAAGATTACCACAAATTCGAACAACTTCATATGTTAGCTTAAATAACTCATCGGGTGGAGACGGTTGCCTAAAAGCAGATAGGCAAAAGATCGTTAGAGCTTCGCTTTCCGATGGAAAACCGACTTGGTATATATCATTGATACCATGTTGTTGCAAAATCTCTTTGTTTTCAGTGGTCACAATGACTCTACTTCCAGGACCAAACCACTTGATATTAGCCAAAGCTTCTAGTTGCACTATACTATACACATCATCAAGAATGATAAGTATCCTCTTGTCGTGTAGCCTTTCTTGTATCACACTTAAATGGCATATCTTAATGCCATTTAGGTTCAAAACCTTAGAAAGAAGCTGCTCTTGTAAGTGTAACTTTAAACCAATGTCATCAACTCCAATTTTACAGTTTTCCTTAAGGTTGTCCATAAAACAAGCAAGTTGAAACTTGTTAGAGAAACGACTATGTAAAGCTCTAGCAATGGTACTCTTACCAATGCCTGCAGGACCAGATACTCCAACAATCTTAACTCCAATGTCACTAAAATTTAGTAAAGACTCCATTTCCTTCAAATGACTTTCAAGTCCAACCATTCCATCAAAATCCCTAGACGGTGTGGCGTGTAGTATATCTGAAACATCTCTTGCAATCTTTATGATCATTTTCGCTTCATTGTCCCTAACAAAAAGAAAAGTGAACATTCATGAAGAACATTCCACAAAACGTCTTATATACATAATGTCAAAATGGTCGTGTAATGGATCGATACTGTTCTTTGATAACCTCAAGTGAATAAATGGTCAGTCTAAGTTCTAACAAATAAGTCTAGTTGACCAAATGATCCTTAACGTGTCTTTTTTTATTTCCACTTTCATTATTTAACACCAAACCGCTTAACCCAACTTGTATGTTTTATTCATTAAGTACTCATTGACTTGACTTTGTAATTATTTACCATTTAGTCAACTTTACATTTTGAAGACAATGCAAAGGCCACCATCTCATTTGTATCACCAATAATGAAAATGAAAATTACGAACACGTTCATTAAGTAAATTCATTACTGACATCAATAATAGTATTAAACATGAACAGACTAATTATCTCTAGTTTTGAGTTAAAACGATTACCAAATTTAGTCATCTAAGTACTCAAAAAAAAAAAAAAAAACTATACAAAAATCAAGCCTACGCATAACACCAAATCATTAATACTATCACCTTGAAGATATCAAAAAAGATGATCATCATAAGAAAAAAATAAACTGTAATCAATTAATTAAACACTAACCAGTTGTGTTCTCCAGCTATGTTGCCAACATATTCCAAAGCTTTGCTCCATTTTCTTCCATGCTCCTTTGTTTTTCGAGTACAAGTTTTGTCGAAAGCGACCCCAAAATCTCCGGTTTGTTTTCGCACATCAGATGGATCTACTCCGTAGAAGACAGTCATTACTATTTGACCTACCTCTTCCTCGCACTTCAAAATCTCCAATAGCTCATTTAAACACCACCTGGAAGAAGCATAGTTCTTTGAGAGGACTACGATCGAGATCCTCGATTGTCGAATTCCTTGTGTGAGAGAAGAGGGGATGTTATGGCTTCTTTTGATCCCATTGTCATCGAACATCGTGATACCATTGCGGTCAAACTGGTTGCGTAAATGACTGAGGAAAGTCTTACGGACGTCTGGTCCATGGAAGCTCGTGAAGACATTGTGACTCCAAGTGCGAGGTGGAGAAGGAAAAGATGAAGAAGGAGCCATAAGAGAGGATCCGAGTGTTTGAAATTCACAGATTTAGATAGATGTATTATGACAAGACTTTTTGAAGTAGAAAACTAGATTCGGACCCGCGCTACAGCGCGGGGGAAATAATTACATATATATAACTTTTAACGAATTACAATATATTATATTTTAATTTTATTGCAATGCAATCGATTACGGTGAATCATATATTTGTATAATAAATTTAAATAAAATAATAAAACGAAAAAGCGAGTAAATAATAATACATTGAGTTTGGATTCAACTAAAAAACAGTGAAAAATGAACGGCACGAAATAATATGTATCGACAAATTATTCAATTTGACCATTTTGTAGTAGAAGTAGAAATATATGTAAAAATTACATACTTACAATGTATCTTTTGAAGGACCAACCCGTAACAAAATTCATTTTGTAAAAAACATTATTCATAACTTGCTTTACCATTATAATTGTGATTTTAACAAACTATCTGAAAACTATCTAAAATTTACATAGTTTGATATATAATATATTTTATCAATAAAAATTATGTCTCCAAAATTACATCTATATCTTCAATAAAATATTTTTAATAATTTCAATTCTAAATTTTTATATATATTTGAATCTTTTAATTATAATATTTTGAAATTTTTGAAACTTGTAAATATGCTCATGTAACAATGGTTTTAATATTGATCATACGTATACTGATTTTAAATCATTGTCCAAAATATTTAACCGAGTGTAGTTGAGTATTGAAAAAATTCAAATTACAACATAAGCAAAAAAAATATTAATTTTTATTAAATATTTTTATTATATAGCATATTATCATAAATTAAAAATACTATCAAATTAAATTTAAAGAAGAATAATAATTGATTAGTTAGAGAAATATTAGGAAATCATAAAATTAGTTACGGAGATAATATAATCTTAAAATTAGATATGGAAAATATCCGATGTATGTATCCAAACCCAAATTAATATCCAACTTTGAAGTATCCAATTGTTAAAATCGGGTTAATTTTTTAATTTTGACCCGACCCGTATTCGATTTTGTACTTCTCTTTTACTAATATAGAGATGGCAAACCGGTGCAAAGTAAACGAAAGGGAAAAACGAGTGGATTAATTATTACAATAAGAAGTAAGAGAAGTAGAAAAAGAAAGTCAAAGATTCCCAAAAATGTGATTTTGGAAGTGCCCAAAAACAAAGACTTGAAAATGAGAAAAGAAAATTTTAATATACACTCACAAAAACTTCAAAAATACTCCATTTAATATTTCTTTGAATGTTTAAAATTTTTAATGGTAATTTTTAATTTTTAGTTTTAATTTAAAATTTAAAACTATAATTAAAATCATTTTTGATTTCTCATTTTTCTAGAAAAATTAAATTCACAATATCGTGTCAAACGCTGCCGTTTTATCGTAAACAATACAATTTCACTCTCACATGCTGAGTAATCTAACACGTATCCCTGAGGCACTATCTCAATCTCACATGTGGCACATGAGTCAATATTTATTAATGTGAAGTATGAAATTGACATTATTTGTACTAATTGGATATGAAATTTGAATTTTATTTGAGTTTTTCTATAGGTAAAAATCGACACTTTTGAAATTATACAGTCGAATGACCCTTTTCTCCTTCCACAAACGATGATTCCTATGACACAACTCATACTACAACACCTAAATCTACACCAGGCATATACATGTACGACGTCCTCATGGTGTACATATTCTCTCTTTGTGTGTTCAAAACTAAGACGAATAAGTACCATGGACCTCCCGATAACTGATCTGATGATATATATTTTCCTTAGAAAAGTCTTTCAAATATATGCTAAGAGCATCCTTACTGGTATGATTTTATGTGTGTATCTTAGGATTAATTTAGTATTAAATTTTAAAAAATTTAGAATTTAAGATTTGTATTTTTGTTTTTTGTTTTTATATAGGATTACTAGTGATGGACCCGCTCGTACGTGCGGGGTTATTTTTACAAAATTACGATTTTTTAAGTAGATGCTATTTTGGTAAAATTTTGTTATATGAATTTATTAAATAAACTATATATAGACATACAATTGTAAAATATAGATATTATATTACATAATCCAATTTTAAAATTATTTAAATGAAAATGATAAATGATATTACATGTTTATTTTTTAAACTAATTAAAATATTTCTAACTGTTTGCTTAGAGATATTAAATCGGATATGAGTTTGGCTTTAGTTTAAATTATTTTATGTGTAGTTTAGAATGGAAAACCCGTCCTGTCTTTTTCCGTCTCATCCTGACCTGTCCCGTCTCACCCCGCCCCGTCCCGTCCCGTTTTCTATCTGTCATAAAATTTCTGTCCCATAATCGTTTCTCTTTAAAACATAATCATTTGTCAATGTTTATTATAAGAAACTTGGTAAAAGATTTAGACGGGATACCCGTATTCCTCGTTTAAATATTTATTTTTATCAAACTAATAAAAATGAAATTATCAATCTAAGTCACATGCTCCCACCATTTTCATTCACAAAGCACTGTCAGTAATCCTAGCATACACAATCCTTGTTCGATTTTTAATTTTATTGATCTTTCAGTTCCATCTTTATTTCTCATTACTTTCTTCAACTCAAAGATTCATGTTTTAGCCTTTTTGTTTTCTAAAGATTTAGGTATTTCTATTTTTTTTAATACATGGATTTATTGTAGTTTTGTTATCTGAAGTATACATTATCATCTTGTGCCCGTCACTTCATGTATAAATATTTGAAATAAATAGGAAAGTGGAAATTAAAGTTAGCAAAATTTAAATTACATGTCATGTATCGTACTCGTAGTTTTATATTTGAAAGTTGAAAGTGAATTTAAATTTATGACCGTGTCTCATAACAATTATATCTAATCATGTTTTTTTTATGAGAAATAATTCAGATAATATTTATTTTCGAATTATATGTTTCCGTCTCGAATCCATTCCTATAAGTTTATATTTTTTAAAATAAATAACACCATTTACATGTAACTAAATATAATTTTAATATATGTAAAATTTCATATAATCGTCCAAAAGTAGAGATTTATACGTCCCAAAGTTGAATTTTGTTCAATATTTTGAGATTTTGAGAATTAAATATAACTAAATGTGATATATCCACTTGTTATTTAGTTTTAATCTTAATAGAAATTATACATGTTTATAATCTCAAAATGTAGTTTATAATTTGATAAAACAATTATTTAATATTTGATAATAGTAATGATATGCAAGTTGCCAATGGATGAAGATTTATATTGTTAAGATTGTGTGAAATTAATAAGAAAAAGGAAGTTTAGAATAATCATTAACTAACTGCTTGACCAAATAAAAAATCATTAACTAATTGAATTAATGATAAATTTTGTAGATATCTTTTGTGCTACAATTGCTAGATTGCTTTTTGAATATGAATATTTTTATGTGAAAATAAGAAATTTATGTGATCTAGAATGTTTATTCGCATATTTTAGCAAAAAAATATTTAATCATTGATTTATTTAAATTTTATTTATATTTTAAATTATATAATTTTTTCAAAATTTGATGATATGATCAGTTATGTATATACTACTATGTAGAATTTGATTAGTTGATTATTTCATAAGCTAACATATTTTTTTATCTTTTTATTTTTCTATAAAAATGTGATTTTTTTTAGATATATGATGATTTTGTTTTATTAGATTTCGTTCTATATAAATTATTAATTTCGAAATTATATTAGAATATTAAATTAATATTAGATATGTTTATGTATATTCAAAATAGATTTGTTTACATATATTTAATTTTGAATTTAATTGTCCACTTTTTATGGTAAAATATTATTATGATTTTCATAAATATAGATAGTTTTTTTTTATTTTTGCTGTCATTAATTCTGTTTGGCAACTGGAATATATTTCATGAAATTTTTATAAAAAATTGAGGGGTGTTTGGCTTCAAGTTGTCCTTCCCAATTAATAGTATAGATTGGTAGGTTCTTAAATAAGAACCGATTTTTTTCCTTATTCCAAATAATAGCTGATTTTTTTTCTTATATATTTATTTCAACAACCACTTAGAAATAGCCACGTCATTGACTCTTAAACATTGTTTTGTATCATATATAAGATATCATATCTTAGGTTTTAATCAACATTTTGATTTAAATTAAATCCTTAATTCATCTAAGATATCCTTAAGATCTCTGCATTTATTGGAGTCTACAAAAATGTTTGAGATTCTTAAAATCTACAAAACTTTTAAAATCCACACACTACAGGGAATTAGGGTATAAATAGCATAAGAATATAGCGTTTGTGACAGTTCTGCTATTGTAGACCAACTTTGGCTTTTTTAATAGCGTTTAGAATTTTAAAACGCTATGATTGTATTAGCGGGAAAATATAAAAAGTTAGCCGCGTTACTTTGCTAAATCTAGGCGCCTTACCATTGCAGATCCAAAACTTTTAGTTAAAAATATACTTCAAAACAAAAAAATACTTAAAATTAAAATACTAAAAATACACTTAACTTCAATAGTCGAAGAGTCGAGAATCGATCCAAACCCTTTCTTCTTCATTTTTTTCTCAGAAAATCCATAGATTACACTTGAAATCCAGAGAATCGATCGAAGCTTCAATAGGTATTTTCTCTTTCAATCATAGCTTCTTTGTTCTATCTCATCTAAATCGTTTATTTTCTCACTTGAATGTTTTGATTTTGTGTTTCGATTCTTGGTTTGTGTGAACAGTCATGTGATTTGGTTTTTGGTTCTTAGTTTTGTTGAACATGCATGTCGAAGTTTGGGATTTTGGTTTAATTTTGATTTTCGGTTTCGATTTTTGATTTGGGGTTATTGTGTTTCGATTTTTGATTTGGGATTATTGTGTTTCGATTTTGATTTTGGGATTTTGGGTTTCGATTGAATATGTTCTTCGTTTTATCAGTTTCAGAAATGGCAAAGACAAGAGGAGGAGGACAAGTTGGTTCTCGTCGTAGTAGACGTAATCAAGGCTTGGAGGTAGAAGATCCTACAACAATAGGAAAGGTGAAAAAGAACAGAATAGGAAAGAAAGTGGCTACCTCTACGAGAAAAGGTAGGAGAATCAAGAAAGTGGCTGGTCAATATGATGAGTTAGAAGATATTACCCGCAAGTTGATGCGGTTGATGATGTAACACCGCAAGATGATGCGGTTGATGATGTAACACTTCAAGATGTGGAAGAAGATCAGGGTATTGATGGTAAAGGAGATGCTGCTTTAGAAAGAGACGCTTGTTTGAGTGATCAACAGGAACAACATGATGATGAAGAAGAAGCTGCGTATATGGAAGAAGATGGAGTTGGCAATGGTCAAGAGAATGCGATTTCTAGTACTGAAGGAATTGAGTTACCGGAGGACGGAGTGAAAAAAAAAAAAAGGACCAACAAAGATGCGTAGAGTGGCTGGAAATCCTAATGAAAAGGTTGCAGTTACTTTCACTGACTTTGGTGATCATGTTGGACCTGGTTCAGTAACACTATCAACTTTTCTTGGTGCTCTTGTGAGGGAACACGTTCCGGTTACACTTTCTGATTGGAGAAAACTTGATGCAGTGACTAAACAAACAATGCGGGAAGAAATTCAGGTATATATATATATATATATATGCAACTATTTTTGTTGAACAACTATGAAATTATAAACATGTTTGGCTATTGTACACATATCATAGCATTTAACGGCCGCTATTGATACCCTAATTTCTTGTAGTGACAAACTCTTTAAAATTCAACCTCCCAATAACCCTCTAAGAAGATTAATTGATGCGTGGAAGCTATATGGGTGAATTTTTGTCGAGATGGCCCTGTTCGTCACGTAGTTGCCGTGACTGCGTCTGCGACTGTACAAAACGACAGTGACGATAGCCACACATAAAACAAAACGACGGTACAGATCTGATGGAGGTGTCGTAGGAGAGAGATAACGGTGCCGCGTTTACACAAAAGAGATCGTCGGAAATTTGAGCGATTGTTGCAGCAACATCTTTTATAAAAAGTAGCGACTCTTTTTAAAAAAAAACACGGCTATTCCTTTTAACTATTTGAACTCCGGCGCGTCTATTTTGTAATTGCCGAAAGTAGTCGCTGCTGCGACTACGTGACGAACATGGCGAGAGCTTGCAAGATTATGATGGGTTTCAGAAACAGAACAAGAACAGAACAAGAACACAAGTGATAATTTTGGGCAATAAGTATTGCCTCTTTTTGGCTTTTCATTTATCTTAAATAGACAACAAAAAAGATGGAGTTGTACTCCTACAAAAGGTGGTTTCCTTAACACATGGGTGACCACTTCGTCTTCTATTATTAACGTACTCGAAGCAAAGACTTAATCAAATACAAAACTAACAATAACAAATTCAATTGAGATACTTTCGGTTTGGAATCCGAGTCCGGTTTGATGTCCTTCTCAACACCGGTTCTTCTTCCTCCTCATGGACAACTCCATCAGATTAGTGGGTTGAACTCATAAAACACCAACTTCTGTTCTCTTTTTTTTGTATTTAATGCTAAATTATATTCAAGGAAAAAAATAACTTTATACAACGAAGATTAACAGAAAAAAATGATTTAAAAAACTTATAGAGTAAACTCTATGCCTAGAAGGAAACCAAAGTTGTAATCCTTGCTCGTATCGTCGATCACCCATCGGTTGAATTATTGTGAGCTTTAAATGCTCCCTTAGCAATCACGGACCAGACTTGGGGATGCGAAAATACAGTGGAAAAAATGATGTTCCCGTGTTTCAATGTTTTGTTGACAAAGAACACAGACCCCGCTTCTCCTCTATTCCAGCGCATCATTCAAGCCCCCGTTAGCTAAGCGATCATGGACCGCTAATCTCAACCTCTTCTTTCATCTTCGCTCGGTACGATTATGTAAATCTCTTTTGATTCAAGTTTTGGTCTAGGCTGAGGATGAGATCTGAAACTACAAAACCCAACCAAGAGGTTTTCGTTATTACATGTCAACCCCTAAATTTCAGGATAAAAAAACTCGGAATGTTTAGATAAATCAAAGTAGAGTGAGAGATGTTGGGTTCTCTAAGTCAATCCAATTTTTCATTAGTATGATATTGTCCGCTTTGGACCTATAACTCAAGCCCACACGGATTTGTTGGGATCCTTCCCAAAATGTCTCATATTAATTGGAGTTGTACTTGACTTATATATTAGAAACTTCTCTTTCTAATATTCAGATGTGGGATATTGGTTTGTATTCCAATACTCCCCTCAAACATTGAGGGTTTTTCCCACACCCCTAGATCCATACCTATAATTCATTTTTTTTATTTTTTTTTTCTTAATATTCAGACGTTTTCTTTATACAAATTCGTCGTCACGGTCTACTCATTTTTATCATCGAGAAAATAAGAAAGAAAACAAAAAAATTTCTGTCTTTAGACGCATAGGACTATTTTAGAACACTGCCAGCCTTTAGATCTCCCATTGTCGCTATCGTCGCTATCGTCGCTATCGTTGCTATCGTCGCTTTCGTCTGTCAAGATTTGGATACCACATTCAAGAATGCTGAAAACATTGTCACTGGTGCTGAACTGGATCACTATCTCTCTGATCACTTCAGAAGGGTCGGTAAATGACAAGTCAGCCTGAAATAAAAACAGATGTGCCTCTCGAAATTTGGAGACATCGGATAGGTTGAACTTCATGTCAGCAGAGTTAACTACTGTGTTTCCTCTGGCTATGCAACGATACAAAAGTTCTGAAGCTATAAATTCTCTGGCTTCGTAATGAATTGGTGAAATCACAACGCAAACCTTAAATCTGTCGAAAGCAGAATGAGGAATTGTTAAGGTCTTTCTTCTGGCTCGGTGATCAAACTCTGCAGGTACTTCTCTTCCTGGTAAGAGAGCCCACCCGTGAACAAAAGATTGTTGAATAATAGCTTGTCGACCCAATTTGAAGCAGTTGGTGAAATCGAGCTCTGCATCTGGAATGTTTAAAGGGCTACTTACTCTCTCCAGTGCATCACAATCATTTGCCATTAGACGTTTGAGCGAACGGGGGAGCTCTGGCAATGACACGAGTCTTTTGCAGCCTGATACATCAGGGACTTGTAGATTAAGCAAATCTTCAACGCAATCCATAATCTTCTCAATACCGCTATTGCTTAGCTTTAGATGTGCTACACTTTTGGGGAGGTTTGCTAAGCTCTTGAGATTTCTACTGTTACTTACATCAACATACTCCAGACGGGAACACTGCCTAATTGATATAGGCATCTCTTCTACTGCCGTGTCTGTTATAACCAGTTTTGTGATGTTGGCCGGAAAATCTGGAAAACTTTTCAGTCGTGAGCATCCAGTTATGCTGATAGATTCATGAAATGGCAAGTTGACGAGAGTTGGAATGACTTCTAAACTTCTGCATGAATTCATCGCTAAAGAATTTAGTTTAGGAAGGTGAGAAATTGAGGACGGAAGCTCTACCAAAGCAGTGCAAAAAGATAGATCCAATCTCTCCAGGTTTGGAGTGCGTGAAAGATCTGGGAGTTCCTTTAAACGAGATGACCTTAAGAGATTCATAATCTTGAGCTTTGGAAGTGGCTGAATGTAAGAAACAACACATAATGAGAAAGTAAATATATACCTACACTGATTTTAACCCACGGTTTACCGCGGAACGAAATATTAAAAATAAAAAATTTATATTTTAAGTTAACCCATAAAAGATTTTAAATATAGACAACTCGTAAGGAAAGAATATATAGACAACCTGTAAGAAAAATATAATCATATTTATGTAAACTTAAACCCATTTTATTTTTTTTTAAATAAAGAACCGGATTAAACCGAATAAATTTTTTAATTTGAACTTCCTGCACATGTGTAGTTGAGAGAATATTAGTCCTATTTTATTTATAATGGTTTTGAAATATCAACTAAAATTTTCTACCTTATGTAAATGTTGTACATACATTTTTTTCTTTATCGATTCAGTTATATACGTCTGTTTTCAAAATTTTAAATTGCAAAATATGCGGAATTTTTTTGTATTTTTATTATACATATATGTAATAATATAAATTGAAAACGAATAAGATTATATAAATATACTGGAGAGAGATCCGATTTATTAGATAAATATTTTAGGAAATTTTTTTGATGTAATAAATATTTTTTTCCAATTTTGCAATTTGGTTTTGACCGAAAATTTACTTTTAAGTTTTGTTATTGATTAAAATGGCAAGGGTTTAATTATACAAATACATTATTAAAAAATAAAAGGTTATAACCCAAAATAAATTTTAGTACAGAATCTCCAAAAATGTTAAGATAGATATTATTTCATTATTTGCTATCTGATCATTGCTATTATCAAAAAGTTGTCTAGTTTCCCATCAACACACACAAATTACTAACCTGAATTCCCCACCATATCTTCACGAGTTTGCTACGTACCAAGTGGAGTTCAATGAGATATTCTGGCCGAAACCTTAGCGGAAGAGTATTTCTTGGGTATGCATACCAATCTAGTAACCGTAGGGGTGGAAAGTACTCCATCTCCTTTGGAATGTGCAATTGTCTTTCTCGGGTAGGCCTCCATCCGTAGACTTTCAAGAACCTAAGATTCCTCAGTTTTTTAAAAGCGTCCACGTTTATTATTAATTTGTCGATCTCGGCTACGTTAAATGATATACCTAATACAGTTGGTCGAGCATCACCCTAGCAAATATATAAACATGTAACTTGTTAGTACCTAGAGATGATCTGCTAAAACGACATTAAATAAACATGGCAATGCAAAACCCGTCAAAAAAAAAACTTACTTACTTCTGCCTTTTCTAGAACATCACAAATCTCATGGGTATCTACTAGAATACAACGGTTCAAAAGCTCTTGTCTGGAAATGATTTCTCTAGCCATAACTCGTAGAAAACCCTGCATTACAACTCTCTGTCCATTGTCGTGATCAATCTGTATGAGGTATTTACTGGCTAGTGTTTCCAATCCATCTTCAACATTTTTTACATTGCCATAATACCCCAGCATGGATATCACATGATCAATATGTTCATGATTGAAGAAGACTGCAATCACGAGAAATACTCTTTGTTCATACTTATCTAAACTTTCATAGCCTTCCTTCAATAGACCCTCAATTCTGCTATCAAGACCACTTTTCAACGTTGGTAGTTCATCTTTCCAGTCAGTTTGGCTCTTTCCCCGCAATGATGACCCCAAAACATGCAGCCCCAGTGGAAGATTGCAACAAATCATTGCAGCTTCGGTCGCAAGATTCTTAAATCCATCATCAGGAGGAGAGGTTTTTCCAAAAGCATATAAACAAAAAATCTTTAGAGCTTCTTGGTCAGATGGAAACCCCACTTTGTAGATATCAGTAATACGACGTTGATCCAAAATCTCTTGGTTTTCAGTGACCACAATGACCCTACTTCCAGGACCAAACCACGGAATATCCCAAGCCAAAGCCTCTAGTGGAACTAAACTCTCCACATCATCAAGAATCATTAGAACCTTTTGATATCGAAACCTCTCTCTTAGGAAACCTAAATGCCCTATTTTCATATCAGTTTCTTTCAAAACTTTTGAAAAAAAATCCTCATGAAAATGAAGCTTCAAACGATATTCATCACAAATATACTTATCAACACCACTACTACGGAATTCCCGAAGGTTGTCCACAAAATAATAACGATCAAACTTACTAGAGAGTCGAGGATATAAAGCTCTAGCAATGGTAGTTTTACCAATGCCTGCAGGACCAGAGATTCCAACAAACTTAGCTTTATCATTGTCTAAATCTAGCAACGACTCAATCTCCCTCAAATGAGTTTTTAGTCCAACCATTCCATTAAAATCACTAGACGGTGGATGGTTTAGTATGCTTGAAACCTCACTTGCAATCTCATCAATCATGTCCACTTCATTCCCCCTAACAAGAGAAAGACAAAAAGCCATGTTTACTTGTTCCCAATAAAGATAACATTCCTCTGTTCCTAACGTAAAGTTTATGACATTTTATCTCTAAATATTCATTCGACAAAAACATTCACTATTCTATATTAACCGTAAGGTTCGTAATTCATCATAAACACACAATTAAAAAAAATACACAAAAACACAAACCATTTTTGGAAGTCTTGTCCGGCAATTTTGCTCACATAGGTCAAAGCTTGGCTCCATTTTTGCCTATGATCCTCTGGTCTACCATCACAAGTTTTATCGAAAGCCTTCCCAAATTCTCCGCCTTGTTTGCGAACATCGGAAGGTTCTACTCCGTGGAAGACAGTCATCACTACCTGGTCTAATTCTTCTTTACACTTCAAGATCTCCAACAGTTCATCTAAACACCAGCTGGAAGAAGCATAGTTCTTCGAGAGCAAGACGATCGCGATCCTCGAGTTTCTAATCGCTCGTATGAGAGACTCGTCAATGGTTTGGCCTCTCTCGATCCCTTGGTTATCGTCGAACATCGTGATCCCATTGGAATTAAACTGTTTGCGTAAATGACTGAGAAATGTTTTGCGGACATCTGGTCCGTGGAAGCTCGTGAAGACGTGTAATTGGGTGTGATATGAAGAAGAAGCCATGAGAATGGAATGTGAAGAAGAAGCTATGAGACAGAATCTTGAATCGGGAGTGGTTTATAATCACAGATGTGTTTGGATAAGCTCTTCTATTATGGAGCAGAAAATGGCAAAAGCCGTACTGTCACTGTTGACTTGTTGACTATCCGTTAGAAAATAATTTACAATAAAAATATTTTTTTTTGGCTTTTACACACATTACATTCCGTTAACCAATCGGTTTCGGTTTGGTTGCACTTGATGTCGGTTAGTTAGATATAGTAATTTGAGTATTTTAAATTTTGGTTTGGAGTTTTCAGTTTAATTTGAGTATGTTAATAGATAACTGTAACTAACCGAATATAACATAAACTAACTGAAAAATACAAAAATGGAAGAAAAAATAATTGGTTAGATTTTGCAAAAGAATATTTATTTTTGACAAATATTACTATACCAACATTTGGATATATTAATTATTTACAGTATTTAATTGTTTTGAGTCTAGAAATAACTACTATTTTTGAGTTTATAATTTATTTATAGGTATTTTAGGACGTTTTGAGTTTAACAGTTTGGTTATCGGTTCAGTTTGATTCAGGTTTGTTTAGATACGAAATTTTACTAACCATTCGGTTATTTTAGGAATTTTGGTTTCGATACGGTTTGGGTTTTTGGTTCGCTTACCAATATTCTAAATGTTTGATTCAGGTTAAAAAATGTAAAAAATATATTATAACTCTGATTACACGCGACTAATTTTGGATATCAGAATTGTTCTGTGTTGGTATATGCCTTTTGAGGTCTTTATCTCACTACAATTTTGTTGTTGTGGTTGTTTTACGTAGTTCACAAGTTAATTCACAATATAATCAAAATTTCTCACGTATTTTGTTGACATCGTTGGACTTTTTTTAACATTTGCTTTCGCCTGTGTTAGTTTTGATTCTATATATATTTATCATTTTTTTTGTCTGTTGAATTACATCTTTAAAATATAATTAATTGTAGTAGCGCAGATTTTATGATAAGATAGTCTGTGAGAGATCTTGATCCTGTTAAAGATCTATGATCCAATTAGAAAACTCAAAAATAATAAAAATTAAAATTTCAAATATTAGCGAAACGTATTGTTGTCTTTGTTAGTAGTTTTTTTTCTTTGATGACATATTAATTCTTATTTTTTGTTTGTTTTCATTTTTGTGATTAGATGCGTTTTAAAATAGATTGACTTCATATACAAGTTTTCTTGTTGTTGGTATGTTTACCAATGAATAGTTTTATACCATTTTTTTTTTTTTTTTTGGGTCAAAAAATAGTTTTATACCAATGAATAGTTTTATGCATATAATCCCAAATCAGTGAGTACTAGTCTAACCAAAGCAATGAACACACAGAGATAAGCAAGAACACAATTGTAGATCATGCAAACTGAAGCATTTGATCCATCACATAACAATTATCTATATAAAAAATGATATAATCAATACATAGCAAACAATGGAAACGGTCGAAGGTTTACTAAAATGAGATCATCATCCCCTCCTAAGACGCTTCCTGGATACGAATTCCACTGACGCTTGTCGGATCTTATATGTTACCAAACGACTAAAGTCCCAACTGTTGTTTCCGTCGGTATTGTCCGCTAAGATCTGGATGCCACATTCAATAATGTCGAAATCTCGGTCTTTGCTGCTGAAATGGAGCTCTATCTTTCTGCTAATTTCAGAGGGGTCGATAGATGGTAAGCTAATGAGACATATAAATAGATGTTCCGCTTGGAATCCGGATACAGTTTTCGGGCGGAAAGTCTTTGCAGCAGATTTTCTTGAGTTGCCAATTACTGTGCAACGACACAATAGTTTTGAGTTTTCAAGTTTTGTGCCTTGATGACTGTAATTAGGTGATATCACGATGCAAACCTTAAATCTGTTGAAAGTGGTATGAGGGATTGTTAAGGAACTTCCTCTTGATCGATGATCATATGCTTCAGGTACTTCCCTTCCAGGTAAGACAACATACCTGCCAACAAACGATTGTTGGATAATCGCTCGTCGTGCTTGTTGACCCAATTTGAAGCAGTTGGTGAAATAGAGCCTTATATTTGAAGTCTTTAAAGGAAGATGTACACTTTCTAGTGATTCACAATCTTCTGCCATTAGCCACTTGAGCGAACCAGGAATCTCTGGTAAAGACGAAAGTCTTTTGCAGCCTGATAGTTTAAGGTATTATAGATTATGAAGATCTTTGATGCAATCTTCAATCCTCTCGATACCATTATTGCATAGGTGTAGCTCTATTACACTTTTGGGGAGATGAGTTGAGAAGGTCTTTAGATTTTTACCACCACGTATACTAAGAGTCGTAAGATGAGAGCAATGGCTAAGTGATGCAGAAAGTTCTTCTACCCGTGTGTCCACTATATCGAGATTTGTGATGTTGGTAGGAAAACTTGGAAAACTTCTCAGTCGTGTGCATTTATAAATGTTGAACCATTTAATAGATGCCAAGTTGATGAGAGTTGGAATGACTTCTAGACTTTCGCAGCAGCTCATCTTTAACTCAACTAGTTTGCGAAGATTTGCAATCGAGGGTGGAAGCTTTACCAAAGCAGTGCAAAAAGACAAATCCAATCTCTCTAGATTTGTAGCTTGTGTAAGATCTGGCAATTTCTTAAAATGTGAGGACCCAAAGAGCATCAACTCCTTGAGATTTGCAAGTGGCTGAATGAAAAATCAGACCATAATGAGAAATTACTTTTTCATCTTATTTTATGTATTCCTAACTAGGTTCGGACCCGCGCTACAGCGCGGGGGAATACTTTTGGATTTATTTTATTTTTAACGTGTTATATCGTATGTGTTATTATCTCATATCTTTTAATATCAACAAATATTATTTCGAAATATATATTTATTTCCAATTTTTTGAGAAAAGTTTGTATTCAGAAATGAAATATAGTATATAACTAAAACAAATAAAAGAATGTGTATTAAACGATGATATATTATATATGATGAGTTGAATGTAATTTATAGATGTAGTCAAAGGCAATATTGGGATTTTTAAAATTTCCATCATTTGGGGTTTTAAATTTCACAATAGCAATTGAATATAGTTATAATTTATTTGTATGTGAATGGAACAATGTCTTTATTAATTTAATTTTGTTATTTTTTTGTTTATATGTAAAAAAATTTATTTATAAGTTTTTATTGTTTGTTGGGCTATGATTATTGTCTAGTATTTATCTTTGGGCTCAATTTAAATAAAATAATAATAATATTTTTGGGCTTTATTGGCCTTTGTAGCGGACAAAGTGTAATTTTTGTTTCTTATTTCAAAATAAAACGCGTCAGACCAAAAAATTAATCTATCCTTAGGCCAACTCAAAGAAATAATCTTGTAGATAACAACTTTTGCTTTCTTATACCGACTATGAAAAAGGTATTTAGAATTTCTTTTTATAATCGGAATTAGATCTATCATCTCGGATTATGGAAGCAAAAGCTGCAATTACTTTGCCGAAGAGTCGATTGATTGAAGTGGATATATTTATGGTTAATCGGAATGTGTTTGGGTAATGTCATTTAACTTTGTATCTAAATCAATTTTACGGTTTCTGTAATTTAAGTGAATTTTATGTTTTATTAATTGTAGGATTTATTGTTTTTTGAATCAATTGATAATATGCTGAATCCGATGTGTTTTTTTTTATATATTTAAATTCTAAGTTTGGATTTATGTTTAAGTTGGGAATATATTGTATTTTGACAAAATTTTAAGCAATGCGAAGGAAGTGGACATAAATTTAAAAATGCTCATGGAAAACATATTGTTATAATTTGTAAGGTTGTGTACTCTACTGTTTTTATATGCTTACTATGTTTTGTATTAATTTTCAGGATAGACTGTAGCTTCTATCGAAAGTTTCCACTAATGACGTCGTTGGATTTGCATGTTCACAAAAAAATATGTGGTTTCTGAAGATTCTTACGGTCATCTAACCAGTTACGTACAATTGAAATGGTTGTTGCATACTTTTAACTTAAATAAATCTGGAAAAAATGTTTGAATTGAAATAAGTGTACTGCTTACCAACACTTATAATGGTAATTATTTGAAACATGAAAGGGAAAAAAACATAGACCTTTTACAAAATAAAAAAAAATAGAACATACAACACACACAAAATAAATAGACCTTTTACACACAAAAAAAAAAAAAAAAAATTGACGCCCACTTGATTTTGTTTTTTTTTGTGTGTGTGTGCTGTCTCTTTCTTCTTCTCTTCTTCTTCAAATGTTTCCCCAAATCCCTCCACTCACATAAACCCTAGAATATCAAATTCTCTCTATCCACTAATCCAGCTTATTTCTTGCGACTCTAAATCTTTCACCCGAGTAAAAAGCTTCGTTTTTTCTAATCCTAGTGTACTTCATCTTCTACTTTGAACCGTCGTTTAAAGTATTACTCATTCTCACTTTCTCCACCCATGGCTGCGCTACAACAATTGACTTACATCTATATATATAGGAAAACGTTTGGTTGGGTTCGATTAGGGTTGTTTTTCGAAAATATTCTTTCAATAAATTGCGTGATTAAGTCGGTAATATTTTCTTAACATTTATGGATTGATTTTGCTCATTTCACGCTTTCTGAACAATTTAATTACATTTTTAGTTGCCAAGCTCTTGTAGCTCTCCTGGTCAGGCGAAGTCACAGTTATGTGCATCGTTTGATGGGTTCGATACTTGAGCATGGCACGATAGAGAGAGAGAGAGAGATTGAGATAAGTGAATCAAAGTTGATTTAAACAAACTGTATCGACACGTAGTTTAATTGTATTAACAATAAATCCCGTAATATAAGTATCCAGCCAAAATAAGAATATGCTGAAAGAATATATTATAATGCAATGTTACCTTTTTGATTGAAGGAAATTTTAGAAACGATTAATCACAAAATTCAGAATGGATCTTACCCGTATCCATTTAGCTTAGATCCAATTTTAATTTTCGGGTTGTTTTCTTTAATTA